CCTCTGATGAACCTGAGCTTCTGTAAGCGTCCACCTTACTCTGTGTTTGGAGCATGGAGGTGGATGTGCAGACAGATTATTAATTTCTTTTAATACCTCTGTTCATTTGCTGCTGAGTCCTGCTTCTCCAGAGAGAAGCTGAGAGAATGTTGTGCACAAACCTGGGGGTGTCCCAGGAGGGTGCAGTCACTGAAACCTGTTTCCTCAGGAATACTGGCCCAAACCAGGCTTGGGTGTATAAATATAAACATAAAGATGAATAAAAATAAAATTATAAATATAAATATAAATATAAATATAAATATAAATATAAATATAAATATAAATATAAATATAAATATAAATACAAACATACAGGAGTTTAACTTAATGGAGCAGAAATACACCCAGATTGAGAAGGGGACGAAGAGAGGGATGATCAATGTGACATGATTTCCATGTCTGAGAAGGGTAGGACTGAGCTGAATGTGGAAGGCTCAGCTGAAATCACCTGTGGTGACACAGCCACAGCCCTGCCAAGCTGCCTGCAGGTTTAGCTGCCTTCTGAAAAATTGCTAAAAGCACAACACTGCTGGAAAACCATGCAAGCCCCATCCTGCATAGGCACTAGAGGGGAAATACAGCAGTGGGTGTCAATGTCCTAGCACCAGTGAGGCAATGTGTGTTGTTAAATGTGTATTTGTGCTGTCTCCCAGCCTCAGTTGTTCTGCAGACTGCACAGGCTGAGTCAGCTGCCACCTAAACAATTTGTGAGACCTAGCAGACAAACAAAAGGCTTTGAAATGTATTAAATGCTGGGCTGTTATTGGATCTGCCCTGCAGCAGGTCAAAGGTGCATTCCAGACAGGTGCTTGCCCCAGCCAGTAGAAGAATTAATATAAAATTAATGTAAAAAGCAGTGTATTCAGTGTAGTATCTCTCCTGTTAGCTCAGTTGTCCTTTCAGAAAAATGCACAGTGCACTATGAAGTCAGCTTTTAAGTACATTCATTTACTCTGCAATTAGGGAAAACATCTGAGTTGTTCTTTTCTGGCATCTTTTGTTTTGTTTTGTTTGACAGTGTTTTATAGCAGGAACATTTAGAAGCAGAAGGCCAGGAAAACAGATTTTTCAGATTTTTTGCTTACTTAACTCTTTATCAGGTGAATATCTTCACCCCATAAGATGTGCTGAAGGTGTACTCAGAGCACTCTTTCTTCTCACAGTCTTAAGAATTGAGACTTTTTTTTTCCCCATCCTGGAAGGTGAAAATAAAAACCGTGCTTTAGCTGGATTTTGAATTAGTTTTCAGATACAGCAGCCAAATTTAAGATATTTCAAACATGACTGCAGAGTATGGATAGATCAGGAAGCAGGTGAGATTTCCAAATTGCAATTGCACCTCCCTAGACCCCTTTTGACATGGCTCTGCTGACAGAAACCAGTAATAGCTTTGGTGATTGCTCACTGGGACCTGCAAACTCAACCTTCTGTGGGCTGCTGTCTTCTTCCTTAGTGCACACAGCAGGCAGATAAGTGTGAGCCATTAACATCACATTTATGTGATTGTTTAATGCTACTGCTTAATACAGGCTTGTGTGTATAAATCACAGGAGTTGAGCTTAATGGAGTAATAATGTAATAATCACATTAAGGGATGAAGAGAGGAATGATGGACGTGAATTTTTTCAGGAGAGAAAAGTAGAGTCATCTGGGCCACTGTCTCCACTTGTGCTGCAGTCTTCCCATGTGGCTTTGGTACCCTTTTGGTACCTCTGTTTCTTCTCCATTAAATTAGAATTCCAAAGTCATTCCTGTAATTTTGCCAGTTGAGTGTAGAGACAAGAGCTGGAGACCCACAGCTACCAAAAGGCCCAGAAAATTCCAAAGGCTGGTTTTGAGAGTGCCACCAGCCAAGTTTGTGAGTTTAGGTGCCTCACCTGCTTTAAATGTTTTAGACAATTATATTAGGAATTATAATAGATAAATATATTATATTATATTATATTATATTATATTATATTATATTATATTATATTATATTATATTATATTATATTATATTGGACAATTTTATTAGTTGAGTGTCAAACTGCCACAAAGATTACAGCTCTAGGGTCTTTCATGTCCAAACAAGTTTGAAACTGGGGACTCGTATTCCTTATTTGCTGAACAGATTCTTAAAATGATGCTAAGTCATAATGCTTCTGTTGTTGTTGTTTGTTTTGTCTAATTAAGCTCTAGCAGAACAATTGCAATCTTTTACTTTGTGGTTTGCTGTGCTGGATACACAGCCCTGATTTTAGTTCTTCTCTAGAGGGAAGTTCAATAAAAATAACAATAGTTTTGCTAATGAGGATAACTGTGTGAAGCCAGGATTCATGCTAAATTAGTGTCTGTTAGTGGCTTAAATCTATGGTGAAAATTTCCTTGCCCTCTGTGTGTGTCTTAATTCATCACAGAGAAGTCCATAATATTTTATTAAAAAAAAACATTTTTGACTTTTTTTCCTGAAACTCTAGCCCAAAACTCTTGGAAAAGCAGGTGCTTTCCTGTACCATCAGAATGAGACAAATTTGCTTTTATTGTTGCACAGAAGTGGTTTTCCTTTGGAAACAGATAGACTTGGCAATGGAAAGTAGCTGGAGACTAATGGACACAAGTTTTAAAGCTTCCTGCGTGGGCCCCTGGAAGACAGAAAAAAAATAAAATAAACACCTCATTTCTGTTCTAATCAGTCTGGGATATAAAGAAAAGTGCTCCAGCTCCAGGCTCATGGGGAACCTCTTGCCTTTCCACAGAGGCAGAGTGGGCAGCAAGTGCTGTCCCTGTATGCCTCTGAAGGAGCAAAATGAATGGGGTAAAAAGGAAAAAAAAAATGAGGCAGAGTAGTTTTGTGCTCTGGAGACTGAGTAATTCACCTGTCTACAGGTATTTATTCTGGTGGCCTTTAGGGACATTTTCAAGACACAGCAGAAGAAAGGCTAGAATTGTTTAAATTGTTTCAAGAGTCCCCACATTTTAGAGTTAAGCAAGTGGGAACTGTATTATTTTGAATGTGAGTAAAACTAGTTAAATTCAGATCCCTTTCTGATTTGTTGCATCAAAATCTTTCTCAGATCTGCTCCTCCATTATCCCATCAAATAGCCCCTATTTATTCATTTATTTATTTCTTCACATACATTGAGGAAGACAAGGGAAGGAGTCACTCCCCCCAGTAAGGACCATCTGCTCTTTTCTTATTGGGAAGGAAAAAACCCTACAATTAGTGTCTTGTTCATCTTTTTGTTTTACCAAGAAAAAAAAAAAAAAAAAAAAAAAAAAAAAAAAAAA